TGGCATCGCTTCTGAACAGCAAAGCTTTGCTAAGGGACCCTTTCTGCCTATGTACAGCAATCCGAGACATCTGACAGTCAAGTCAGATAACTGGAGATGGAAATTCTCTGGCCCTGCTGAAGGCAGTGCAGAGGCGGCAGGGAGACCGAACCCTATCAGCACACAAGGCTGGGGCCTGAGAAAGTCCTGACCCCACGAGACCTCACAAGGCCCTCCTGCTGAAGCTCTCACCCTGCTGCTACAGAGCCAGGGCATGTGCCCCCCAGCCCAGCCCATGGCTTACCTACTACACCGAGGGCTGGCGGCTGAGAGGAGGCCTGAATCTACTGCTGAGGGACAACCCTTGAGGCCTGGATCTAGACTCTCATCCATGGAGATGATCTAATATCAATTACCCAAAGGCTTATTACTAGGGAGCTCTAGGGAGCTGCAGAGCCAGACAGTCCCCAAACCTGGCACACAAGGCTTCAGACTGCTCACCCCTAAGGTAACCGCAGGTATTACACTCCCATCAGGAGGTGGGCTGCCCAGGCTCAGCAGCTCAGAGGGGACTCTTCACAGATGACCTCCTCTCAGGTGGCCAAAAGGCTGAATCAAGGCAAACCTTTCCACGGAACAGAAATGGAGGTAGCCACATGGCCAAGACACCACGACTAGGCAGGAAGTCTGCTACCCTGCCCCATCAGGCCACGGTAATAAGCTACAGGCCAGCCACCTCTGGAGTGTTTCCATTTGCTGCTTTTTCCAAATGACAGACTTCATTGGTGCGATGACTGTTGCTCCGAGAACTGAGCAGGAAAGAGTGGCACCAGGTAGCTTGTGTGACTCACCAGTTCTGCCGACAGCTATGGCATGCTTGGCTCCTCCTCCCAAAGTGCTGCTGTCCCGGAGCCACAGCACACCAGCGGCAGGTTTTGCTTGCTCGCCTGCCACGCCCACAAGGGAACGGACCCTAACTGTTCATCTCCGTGTCCCCAGCAGGCACTGGCTGAACCAATTGCTGGAAAATTTTACTTTCTCCCATGGGAGCTGGGCCAGGGACCTTGGGGGACACAACTACAAGAGGCAGCCCCCTGGCAGGAGGGACACAGTGGCCTCTCACTGGGGAGGATGGGCATGCCAAGGGCCAAGTGTGTGGAGGAGGGAGAGAACGCCACGGGCTGAACCACCAAGGGGAGCTCTTGGTGCAGGAGGCACCTGAACTGTGTCTGAAGGAATGTTAGAGCTCATCTATGTGCAGAGTAAAGAAAAGGGGTGCGTTGGGCAGGGACAATGGCCCAAGAAAAAGTGAAGGGACAGAATTTCATAGATCATGATGGGCACCAGGAGCAGACCTCGTCTGGCTGACACATGGGGCTCCAGGAAGGGAGAAGGGGAGAAGAAGGTGCAGAAGAAATGACTGCCCCTGCTCAGGCGACTTGGAGTTCAGTGGAGGACAGAGCCAAGAGCCAGAGGCACACAGAATCCAATGCACAGGGCTCTGCCCAGGGCTTCATGAGAGCGGGCAGCACAGCAGAAAGGCCTTCCTAGAAGGGCCTTGAAACCAAAGTATTCCAGATTGTTTTTAATACAGAGTAAATGGAAGACGTCCCCTCCCCATACCCCCCACCCCAAACAAAGCAAGACAGTAGCAGGCCTGCTCCATCCAGAACATCTATCTGTCACCTGCACTTGGAACAGGCCAGGAACATCCCTGGGCCTTTCTCTGGTCTGACATGCTTGGTCTGGGGGCAGTGGGCTGGCAGAAATCACAATGGGGCCACAGCAGAGCCTGAAGAATGCGGTAGGAGAGGGCCAGGCTCCCATTCTGGACCCAGATGACTGATGTTAGGTTGAAATAAAAAAGCAAGTTTTCTGAGCAACTCACCCACCAATACCAACACCCCTTGGAAGGCAGACGTGGGGAAGGTGGTACAGGGCTTCTCCAGGGGCTGTAGTTCCTACTCAACTCAGGGCTGAAGGAGGCCCAGAGAGGAGAAAGTCCTCATCCACATGAACCCATCTCAGAAGTAAGCGTAATCTGCTTCCCACCACCCTCTGGTGGGCTCCTCTGTTACAGTCAGGACACAGCTTTGTAGACTTCTATCTGGCCACCAGTGCTATTCATAGGCTGCATGAACTTGGATGAGCCTCAATTTCTTCATCCATAAAATGGGCATAACAACCACCTTCCATCTTACAGAATAGAGATGAAGGTTAAGCCACCAGTCAAATATTTATTAAATAAGTGTACCAGGGCAGTCTTTCTCCAACGGTAATGTACACATCACCCAGGAATGTTGTTAAGGTGCAGATTGACTTAGTAGGCTTGGGGAGGGGCCTGAGTGTCTACATTTCTAACACACTCCTGGGTGGTGCACACATGATAATCCTACCCACCGGCTAACCCCCACCCCTGCACGCACACATCAGATGCTCAGCTTCCACAGGGAGGGGTCTGCACCTCACATTTCTGGGAATGACACCAAATGTCAGGTACTCCAGAGGGGCTCGTGAAATTAGTACTTAGGAATGAAGGACTGAATGGGGGATTCTGACAGGAAGGGGAGGGGCCAGCAGCTTTGCCCAGGGCCCACAGGTGACTTGGGAACAGCTGGCCACAGGACAGGACCATTATTGAGTGACAGACAAGTTGACGTGGCAGCCTCTCTGATGCAGGAGCCAGGAAGAGGCGGTCCTTGCTCCAAAGCCAGGGCTCCAACAGACCCTGTGGCATAAAAGCCTGGCCAGGGGTGCTTGGAGTGGGCCAGTCAGGCTCCTGCAGGAGGCTACCCAGAGTCAGACAGATCTGAAACTGAGAGGCTGATGGAGGCTGGGGGGGAAGATTCTAGTCCAAACACAAGCTAAGTGATGTCCCAGGTATGCCGCTTCACTTCTGTCAGCCTCGATTTCCTCACTGTAACAGGAGGGTTGGCCTAGATCTCTTCTGATTCCTTTCAGCCTAGAGTTCTGAGCTGCGATATCCCAGGCTGTTTACGAGCACTGGCTGTCTGGGTTCCGATCCTGGCTCTGCCATTCCCTGTGAGACCTTGCAGGGGTCATGTCACCTCTTCCAACTTTACCTCCTCATCTGTGATGTGGAATGAAGAGAACACCAACTCAGAGGTTACTGTGAAGGTACACCTAATATGAACCGAGGACCTGAGGGGTGCTGTTACTCTGGGAGCTCTGTGGCCTCCTGCTGCCACCACCTCACACTCACAAATGGAGTCAGGACCAAAGGCCAGCCATCCTCATCCCCTTTTGGGTGTGGCCTCTAGTCTCTGCATTAGGAGACCCACCAGATCCCCCATACCCAGGAAGACCAACATCATGCACACACTGGCGGCCACGTGCACGGTCTCAAGCACACATGGGGTCAGGCGAACCTCAGCATGCCAAGCAGCAGGCGCAGTCACTGTAGCAGGACAGGGAGAACAGGCAGAGAGGAAGCAGGCAATGGGGAGGCAGCGTGCAGTCACTAAGGGGCAGGGAGCTAGCACAGCCCGCGACCGAGCAGCCCACACGGCTCCTTACCTCCCCTGCAGGGCCTCTGACCACCAGGACTGTGTTCCCCCAAGAAGCCGGAGGCATGCTGGAAAGAGTAGACAGCAGGAGACAGGGAGCAATATGTACTGAGCCAGGTTTATAAGAGAAAGTACTGAAAAGGAAACCCAAGGAAGGGCGTTCGGTTCAGAGCGTCCATAGCAGAAGTGGTTTCCAACAGACCCGAAAGACCCAAATGCCAAATGAAGATCACCCCCAAGACTGGCCTGTGCTGGAGGCACAGAGAGGGGATGAGAGAGCAGTGGGAGAAGACCCCCCCCAGACTGGGCCAGCCCAGATGGACACCTGCCTCCCACAGGCTGGCGCTGGGTCTGCTCAGAGTGACACACTTGGCAGGGTTCCTGGGAATGTGTGGACTCAATGGGGAAAGGGACCCAAGGATCCAGGGGTGGACAAACAACCCTCAGAGGGTATGTCCTCCTTAGATGTCACAGTCACTCCTACTGGGACACAGAGGAAACAGAGGAACGTGTATGTATGGACAGGGGGAGGCTCATATTCCAAGGCCAGTGTCACAGGAGGTTCTAGTCCTGGCTCCAACACGAATCTGGGTAACTTTGGGCAAGGTACAAATCCTCTCAGGGCCTCGGTTTTCCCATATGTAAGATGGAGAGAATGCTCCTATCTACATGAGAAAAGAGGGCGACACACACTCTACCAGTAACAGGCACCAAATCCCCACGGGGCTGTAGGTGGCTTTTCTTAACTTTTCTCTGAGGGTTGGTTTGTGCTGGAATAGAGACATGATAAAACCTCCAAGATTCCTGGCAAGAGTGTGAGCAGAGGGGCTTCCGGGACCTCCCTGCCATCAGTGGCCATCCCTCAGTCTCTGTGATCCCAGGGCTACGGATCTAGGGAAGAAGGAGCCTGAAGCACAAGTCTTGGGTGGGGCTTTTACTAACATTAAACACATTTGGGTCCAGTTCAATGGCATGATTTCTCCAGTTGGAGCCATCTACACACAGTCCCCCTCATGAATTTCCTACACCACTGACCCTGTGTCCCTGAGCCCCCCCCACAGTGCCCCAATGAGAAGCCCTTTTAAGGCTTTCTCAACCTGGCTGCACAACTCAGCTGATTCCTCTTGGTCATGGCAACCCTGTCTTACAGATAAGTAAACTGAGGCTGAGAAAGGTGAAGAGATGACTTGCCTGAGGGCACACAGTTTGGGTACCTAGTTGTCTACAGAGCCAAGGTGAGAAACTGAGTCTTCTGACACCCTCTCCTGGGCACCAGACTGCTGTTAGCATAGTGGTTGCCACCGGAGTCCACCCTGGAGAGTGCCTGGGCACTAACAAAGGTTAAATATCCCGACACTGACCCCGCAGGCCCACCTCAACACTGTGTCCACTTCCCTACAGCCACCCCTGCTCCAGGAGCCTGGAGCCAGAGTGCAATAAGCCGGGGGTTGGGGGTGGGGAGAAGGGAGAGACCACACTGGCACCCGCAGCTACCTTTGATGACAAAAGCCTCCGACAGCAGCCTCATCTGATACAGGGGCTTGTTCTCCACAGACATGTCATCAATCCCGGCCCGCGCATACATGCTGATGGCATCTCGGTAGGAGCCCTCCACGTAATGCAGCTTGCCCAGGATCAGCATGGCCTCACACATGTACTGGGGCTAAAAGGACAAGGAATGTATCAGCAGGCTCCTGGTCCAAAGCTTCCACCCAACCCCTCCCAACCCGGTATCCTGGGGTGAATAGCACCACCCCCCAAGCATGAGCCATGATTTGTGTAAGGCCCTGTTCAGAACTCCCTTCCTCCTGCAGGAAGCCTTCCCTGATGCTCAAGCACACACTGATGGCTGCCTCTCCCCACACCTGCAGCCTGTAGCCTATGTTATGGCTCTTAATGAAATTCTTAGGAATCCCAAGTTGTTTCGTGTGTGTCTCATGCTCCCAACTAGACTCCAGACAGCTTGCAGATTGGGCCCTGTCCTCTCTCCTGAAGCCCCCCAAGCCTCCGGCCAGGCTGGACACTCAGGAGTTTGGGCACTTGTTTTGAACACAAGTAGGGAGGAGCAAGGAACTGAGCCAAGTTTTGTGGGATCTGAAGCTTATAATTTTGGGGTCCTCTTTACATACACATTCGAGGGTACTTTAAAAGGTTCATGGAAAGATTCGCATTATAAAAAAAAGATAGATTCGCATTATTTTTCAATTCTTTCTTTGCCCAAGTTTTTTTTTTTTTTTTTTTTTTTTTTTGTCTTTTTCCGTGTCCGGCAAAGGATCGCAACCCTCAGTGTTGCCCCCGTACCAGGCCGGGGACCGGCAACGGGATCGCAACCCTCGGTGTTGCTCCCGCGCCTCGCTCAGCCAGTGAGTGGGAACCGGTCTGTATGTGGGATCCGAACCCTCGGGCGGGAGCGCTGCCGCGCTTCCCAAGCGGTGCACTTATCCAGTGCGCCACCGGGCCGGCCCCTATGCACAAGTTTTTTGAAGTCCCACATATATGCAAATACATTATTAGGTGAAATGCCTTGGGAAGAGCCCAAGGGCCCTGAAGCTCGAGCAGAACCTTGTGGGAGGAACAGCCCATTAGCATCTTGGGACAGAGAGAGGAGGAGCAAGCCTGCAAGGTCTCAGGGTCACCATCCTCATCTCATCAGAAGTGCATGAAACTGCAGAATCAAGGACGCCACCAGTGCCCGAATTCAAACCTGTTTTCTTTCTCTACTTCCTCAAGTGTTGCTTTCACCCAAAGCTCTGCCCCACAGAAGGATGTTCAGGGCCTCCCTTAGGGCCCGAGGAGGTCTGGTCTGCCCTGGTCATCCCCACCCGAACTGAGGCTTGTTCACAGCCAGAGCAACCAGTGCTGCAGACTGAGGGAGGCTGAGCTGGCCCTGGGCCACACAGGCACGATCTGGCCACAACACTCCCTGGAGACGCAGCTCTCGCCCCACTCCTGGCCTCTGTCACTGGCAGGAAGATGCTGCCCCTGACTCCCTGCAGGGAGATAAGAGTCTGGGGTACCTGTGACCCCAGGGGAAGCCTCCACCATTCCCCACCATCTACTGCCCTCCCAGAAGCCCACTAAGAGGAATGGAATGTGGCAAAGCCGGGCTCTAGGGAAGCCAAATTCTCCTTCCCCATTTGTCTTTTGGTTTTTGTAAATACACATTCCTCCTGTGCCTCTGCTCACTCAAGTCCCTGTCCCCTTGGTCTATCCAGATCCTCTTCCACCCTTTGGGGACTTGCTCATGCCCACTCCTGCAAGCCTCCCTGACTACCAGGGAGCTCCCTTCTGCTTGACCTCCTACAATGCCTCTACGGAGAGGGCCTATTCAGTCCTGCACACCTGACCTGCTTTCTCTATTGATTAACTCTCAAAGGCTGGGTTTTTCAAGAGCATTTGCTAGTCTCCCCAAACAGGCCACACACTCCATGGGCCAGGGCCACACAGTCCCTTCAAGCTGGGCAACAACTCTGCCATTCCCTGCACTGGTCTCAAGCCACGGGCTTATTTCCTTCCTGCTTGGGCCCTGTCTCCCTCACTGGTGAGGGAGAGATAATAACACCTACTGCTCAACCTCATCATAGCTATGCTAAGCGCATTAATAGCGCAAAGTCCAGAAAAGAGCTTTGAACTTCTTTAGAAAGGAGCTAGATAAATACAGGGTCAGAGTAATTGTTATTACTATCCTCTTCTACTGTACATGGGGAAAGGGCAGCCAGACTCAGAAGGACACATTTTGGAGCATGACAAAGAGGTGCAGCTAGTGGTGGTTCCTGGTGAACCAATGGCAGTTTACAACAGAGCTTCTACCAAGCTGGGGACAAATTAAAGACAATGCAGTGAACGTTTCATACAGCCAAATTTATACTATTTTAAAAGCTGTTCTTAGTCCTGAAAGTACATCCATCTTGCTTTTTGGTGTTAAGATGTTTTTTTTTCTTTTGTAGAACAATGATAATAGAAAATGGTTTGGTTTTGCTGTTGTTTCTGCTTTTTAATGTGCTTAATTGGCAACATTAAAAGTCAGCTACACTCTGTGGGATCCACGCATTTGAATTTGAAATGTTCTTGGCCTGTGAATCCAACAGTCAGGGAACCATGAACCCCTGGCCTAGTAGAAGGCTGCTATGCAGGGAGTTGCTCAGTTGGGGGGAATAGTCCCTTTGTTGTGTGGATCAGTGTGTCACCTATTCATTTTGTGTCTCACTGTCCCTGTCAATACAAAGAGAAGAGTGACCTCATAGAGATACTCAGTTTTGAGGAAAGAACAGAAGAGGAAATACTCATAAAATGGGACCTATGAAAGCAGGAGTGCCATTATCATCCTTGGCATTAATCCAAGTTTCTTGGTCATTATTTTATCTCCACCCAAGTACTTTAGGAGGCACACCAAGTAGTGGCAGAGAGCATTAGAGTTTGGGATGTGCAGAAAAACAGGCCTGGGTGCAAGTCCTGCACCTGCTACTGTGGTGCTTGGCAAAGTGAGCACCTCTCCTGGGTCTCAGAAACGGGGATGATAGCAGTGCAATGCCTGAGGCTCAGTGGATAACAGAAGTTCTGACAAGTGGCTTGTTTCCATTGACCTCCACAGAACTGAGCTGGATAGTGATGGATTTTGGACGTGACCAGCGCCATTGTGCACACAATAAGCACAAAATAGCTGCTGGCCTTGTCTTCCACTCCAGCACTGAACTCCTCCCCATTTCCCTTTACGAGAAGCCTCCTTACTTAAACGGAAACCCTTTTGCTTCTGCAAGGGCACAGTTCTCCACCCTGGTCATATAGTTTCCACGTTAGCATAATGCCCCTCCTTGATGGTATCAGCCAGCCCTTGGTGCCCTATATAAGCTCTACCACACCCACAGCTGGTGCTGTCCCCCACTTTGAGGGCAGCCCCGAGCTGCCCGTCACTTTGAGCACAGCCTGGCAGATTCTTTTCCTTTAATAAAGCTTGAACGCTACCCGGCCTCTCGGCTCACTTTCTTTCAGATAGGATCTTAGAGATCACTGAGAGTACAGGGTTTCAAACCACCCCGAGGAGTCGCCTCAGGACCCACCTCTCCCAACTCTCCTCAGGCATCAGAGCTACTCGGGATAAATGGGAATACACCTGGGAGCACATCTGCTGCCAACAAAGATCACCCCCAGCCACACCCCGACCTCTGGGGATAAGATAGAGAATCCCACAAACTACTTTTTTTTTTTTTCTTCCTTTTTGTCTTTTTTCGTGACTGGTAACGGGATCGCAACCCTTGGTGTCGCGCCGGCACCGCGCTCAACCAGTGAGCGGACCGGTCTCTATATGGGATCCGAACCCACCGCCGCACTCCCAAGCACCGCACTCTACCGAGTGCACCACCGGGCCGGCCCCCACAAACTACTTTTAATATTTTATTTTGCGTGATCAACATCCAGTTTTTGGCTTTGGCCTGGATAACAGTGAATTTCTCCATGTTACTGGTGTCTCAGTGTATGTCTTTGTTTAATAAAATGTGGTAAAATTCCTATTTAATAAGTGGGATTTGGCAGACGATAGATGTGTGTACTATTTAGCCAATACAAAGAATGAGATACTGGCATGGAGAAAGCTCCAGATGAAAATTCTCAGTGAAAAAGAACGACTTGTCACATATGTATCTTATGACTCTATGAAAAGAAAGCTGCACGCTGTATGTTCGTAAATGCACAAAGACAGACACATGGGATGCGCCTGCACTAGTGACTAGTGCTCAGCTGGGACGATGGGGTGGGGCGGGGTGGGGGTGGCACACAAGGACTTTGTTTATTCAAATTACTTATTTATTAACTGAATTTTTACAATAAGCTTGAATCACAATTACTTTAAGACCACTTTTTAAATATTTAATGGAGTCTACTGGAATAAAATAAAATAAAAAGAGGTCTTGGTAGGAAAAGATTGGAAGGCGCTAATGAGGTCCAATCAGACCCTTTTGACTGGCAGATGAGGAACTGGAGAGCCCGTGAGGTCAAGGGACATGCTCAGGGTCAAGCAGCTACTTTAACCCCACGCGAACCTCCCAATGCCACAGTAATCCCTGTCAAGGAGCCTAAAAGCAATAACCTTATGCTTCCAGTACACTTGCCCCTCTCCCGCCTCTCCCCTGCCCCCCTTACAGAATACGTTCTACATTTCCAGGCAGGCGCTCCAGCCCCCACTCTCTGGCCCCAGTGTACCTTTACAACAGAATTGCCCTCCATTCCCTTTCACTCCTGCTGAACTGACCAACTTTATAAGAGGGACCTTTAGATTACACACTGCTTCCTTAGCTCAGAATGCCCAGCCCTGTCTCTGTGTCCTCCCCCTCACCCACACCCAGGCCCTGGAAGGGGCCAGTCTAGTACTACCACCACTTTGAGTCTGCACTCTAGCTAGTTGCCCCAGGGAAGTGCCCCCTCAGACTAGCCACCTCATGTACACCACTCCCACAGCAGCACATATCACAGTTCACCTTGGACAAAGGCTATTCATTTGCTGACAGGACTTATCTTCCCAGTAGACTGCAATGTCCTTGAGGGCAGGGTCCATGCTAGATTCATCTAGATTACCCTCAGTGTACATGACACTATGCCTTGCACATAGTAGATCACAATAAAACATTTAAGGAAGTTAACAAATTTCTTTGGAATATATCCTAAAATATCACATCCTCTTTGAGTTTCATACCCACTACAGCTCAGCATACCACTGTAATACAGAACAGTCTCTGACTCTGAAGCATACATGAATCACTGGGAGATCTTGTTAAAATGCAGATTCTGATTCAGATTTTGTATTTTTAACCAGCTTCCTGATGATGCCCACTCTTTTGGTGTGTGGCCCACACTTGAAGCAGCAAAGCTCTAGAGAAAGTTGTGACTATACTCCCCTCTCCACCTCCCTCAGTGCCTTGCATACAGTAGGTGCTCAGTAAGTGCACACGGACTTCAACTGGCTTGCCCTGTTCTTTTTTTTTTTTTTTTTCCTTTTTGTCTTTTTTCGTGACCAGTAACGGGATCGCAACCCTCGGTGTCGCGCCCGCACTGCGCTCAACCAGTGAGCGGACCGGTCTCTATATGGGATCCGAACCCTCGGTGGGAGCGCTGCCGCGCTCCCAAGCGCCGCACTCTACCGAGTGCGCCACCGGGCCAGCTCTTGCCCTGTTCTTAAGCTCTTTTGCTAGCCAACTCTAAACATTCGCCTGCTTCCAACTAGATAACAGGATTACTGGGGTCTTATTTCTCTGAGACACCCCCCAACCCACACCAAGGAGACCAAAGGGCTAGGCAAATATTAGGTCAATCAAGCACTGTCCAACAGAAATATAACCTAAGCCACAAATGTGACCCACATGTGTAATTTAAAAATTACTAATAAAATTTCTAGTCGCATTAAAAAAGGTAAAAACAGGTGAGATTAATTTTAACAATATGTTTTCCTTATCCCAGTACAGCCAAAATATTACCATTGGAATATGTAATCAATATAAGAAATTTATGCTCTTTTACTCTTTGTTTTGTACTAAGTCTTCACAATCCAGTGTATGTTTTACACTCACAGTGCATCTCAATTTGGACGAGCCACAGGTGGCAAGTGGCTACTGACGTGAACAGTGCAGGGCCAACCCTTAGGAAAGACTTACTGCTCAGGGACAACTGGACAGCAGAGGGGAGGCAAGAGAGAACAGATAAGGCCCAGGCTCGTGGGCTGACGACTCACCGACAGCTTCCCGTGGTGAAGGACACTGCTCAGATAATTTTTGGCTTCATTCATCTTTGGCTCATTCTTCTCCAGCAAAGGGATGGAGTCTTTTATTTTGGCGTGATTCTCCTTCAAACACTGCTCCAGGAGGGCCTCGGCCAGCAGCAATTTTCCCAAGTCATCTGAAAAGCAGGGCAGGGATCAGAGTAGGTACATGAGGGCAGCGATCCCTTGAACAAGTGGATGTAGAGACTGACACATACCCCTTGGCCCACCTAACCACCCCTACCCAGTACATGAATGGCTCAGGTCTAAGAAAATAAAGACACATCTTCCATCAATTTAAACAGCCTTTAACGAAAAAACTACCATCCCTCTTTGGGTTTATTTTCTGCTGTAGTTTACTGGTTGGGGAGGCAGAGTTCCCAGGACTTGGAGACAAATTCCCAGAATTTCAGAATTTAAAATGCAGGACAAAGTCATACCTATGCCCTGCTATGGGTAATAAGTTTTTAAAACAGGAAGGAATTCTCCCAAACAATTGAAGAGGAAAAATATACCTGGTGGCATTTTCACGTGCTCCTAATTTCCATATAACCATAACTGTTTTTCTCTGTTTCTAAGGTATTTTAATGTGACCCAGGGATAACCTAGCAGCTAAAGCAAAGAGTTAGGTGGGAAGCAGATTTATTTGTGCACCAATGCAAAATTCTTGAACATGTTTAGTGCAGGTCGAGTATTTTTTATCCAAAATGCTTGAAACAAGAAGTGTTTTGGATTCGGGTTTTGGGGGTGTTTTTTTTTTTTTTTTTGAATAGTTGCATACACATAATGAGACATCTTAGAGATGGGACTTGTATTAGTCCATTTCGGTTGCTTATAACAAAATACTTGGAACTGGGTAATTTATAAAGAAAAACAACATTCATTGCTTACAGTTTCTGAGGGTGGGAAGTCCAAAGTCCATCTGGTGGTGGTGACAGTGACCCAGGGGTCTCACATCGCAAGATGGTGTGGAAGCAGAGAGAGCAGAGAGAGAGACAGACTCCCCTCTTCTTTTAAAGCCCTCAGAACTACACCCCTGACCCCCATTATTAATCCATTCACTATGGCACGGTCCTACAATCTAATCATCTCCTCAAGGCTCCACCTTTCAATTGCCATAATAGGATTCCCCAGCCTCTTAACAGTCACGGTGGGGGCTAAGTTTCTAATACATAAAACTTGGGGGACACAATTCAAGCTTCAGGGAGTTTTGTGGGGGACATAATTCAATCCACTACAGGACTCAAGTCTCAACATGAAATTCATTTATGTCTCATATACACCCTATATGCATAGTTTTGTGTGTGAAACACATGACCCATCACGAGGCCAGGTATGGAATTTTCCACTTGTGCTGTCATGTCAGCACTCAAAGTTTCAGATTTTGGAGCATTTCAGATTTCAGGTTTTCAGATCAGGGATGCTTAACCCGTACTTGCACTTTCTGGAGTTCTCTCACATACAGTAGTCATTTGCATACCTCACCACCCGGCAGGTGGTTTTACACTGCTTGGTTTAGTTTGCTGCCTCTTCCTACCACACTGAAAACTCCAGTCTTGTGACTACTGCATTCTCACTACCTACAGGAGAGGTGACCGGGGCATGGGAGCTAGGTGTTCAGTGTGCAGGGTTTGAGGTCAAGTGTGGTTTCACAACATACCATGGGGAGCTGTGTCATTGTCCCTCCCAGCAACAAGGGTGAAGAGCAGGCCCACCATTCAATATAGATGCCCAATAAATACCTATCGAGTGAATCAGATCTTCTCCATTACCTCATGAGGAAGCCATCAGGCTCAGGGACCTAAATGCCAATCCAAAAATGTCCCTAGGAATGCCTGCTTCGTCCCATCTTTTCACAGTGCTCTTTCTGTTGCCAGTATAGCCCCTTCGGGCCTACCCAAGCTTGCCACTCCTTCTTCACTCTCAGGATCACCAGTTGCTCACATCTTAAAGCCACTGGTCTAAAACTGCATGCCTTTGCAGAAGATTCCCAGCAGAGAGCAGCCCTCAAGCCCAGAATCCCAGGGACACAGTCGCAGGAGATTTCCGCTCTAAAGGACACCTATTATCAAATCCTTTACTTAATTCATGATTTTTAAAATTGATATTTTGAGGAAAAGGCCAAAAAAGTACCTGGTTCATACTATCAGCCATTGCTGGCAGAACATACGTTGTATTTGGCAACACATATCAAAATTATAGTTGTATATACCCAGTGACCCAGCAATTCCACTCCTACAGATGTCTTCTCACATGTGTAAAATGACCTACATACTAGATAATTCCTGCAGCATTATTTATACTAGCAAAAAGGTAGAGACAACTTTTATGTCCATCAACAGGAGGCTGATTAAAAAGCATGATACATCCATAAAAAGGAACAGCATACTGCCATAAAAAGGAATGAGGACACTGTGTGTGCTGTTATGAACTGAACTCTAAGATAAATTGATACGAAAGCAGAGTGCATAACACTGCGTGTAATATGCCCGTGTGTGTTTACACACAGAAATACGGGACAGTATTCACACACACAGGGCTGATAACCTTGCCGGCTGATGGGGTGTGGGAGCAGAGACCAGAGGGAGGCTTTTCACTATTTACTTTTTCGTGCCTTTGGAAGGTTGAACCATGCGCACAGACAACCTAGCCAAAACTAAAATTTAAGTCAAGCCGGGAATGAAAAGCAATCTTTTTCTTCATTTCCAAATCTCAGCTAGGAAGAGGGGTGGGCTGCCAGGCAGTGGGTGCATGGTTCAGTCCCGAGCAGCATTCCTGAGCTCTGTGGCTCTGGGCAGGTTGCTCTCCTCTCTAACCTGCTTTGCGTTTATAAAATCAGGGGTAGTGTTAGGAGCCTGCTCCTTGAGATGGAAATGCACGAGGCTCCACCCCCTGCCGGCCCGTACCCCTTTGCCTCTGGCACCTCTGTGTGTGGGCACAGCTCCCGGGCACCGTGCCTGGTCCACAGCCACCATGCCATCGGGCCAACCCGCCCACCTCTGCCACCTGCCTGCCCAGCCCAGAGCTCCCTACAGCCCTTGGCTTGATGCCTTTCATGCCAAGAGAAACCAGCTTCCTCCCCAGAGCACACAAAATAATGGAGTGTCCTCTGAAGCCCTGCTCCTCAGAGCAGGCTGGTGTGGGTCTCTGAGTGCTGGTGATCTAATTACGAGGAGATGAGTGCAGAAATTTAGAGTACATGTTTGGAATTTGACAGAGTCATTTTGAATCTGTTGAATCTAATAATAAAAAATCAGGGAGGAATAGCACTTTGGTTATTTTTCTTTCATTTCTCTAGTAATTCATTTTTATTGTATTTTATGAAAGTATCAGAGCATAATAGATTGGGAATTTAAGCAACATTGATCCTTCACCACAGATTCTTTGAGAAGCATGCTCTAAACCACGAGAGTGACCTTGACTGCAAAAGGGGTACCAGAATCTGCTGAGTGATTACTAAAGTGCCAGGTACTTTATTATACAATATCATTTAAACTGTACATCCCTAAAAGGTAGATATTACTCCCATTTTATAGATGATAAAGATATGCAATATTGTTAGGGTCACAGCCAACAACAATAACATAACACAGACAAAAAAATAATGTCGCTCCTGGATCCCATGCAGAACAGAGCTTTTGGTAATTTAACAATGAAGAACCATCTAAAAGTTGTAAAGAGTAGGTTAAAAGCTAACAGTAAATCCAAGGGCAGAGATAAGGACTGCTCTCACTCTCACATACCTGTGAGTTTCAGACTATCTCGTTTACTAACACTTAAGGTCCTTCTTGCAAGGCTTTCACCCTCCCTGTTCACGCCCCGCTCAGTCTATTTGTGTTTTGGTTAGCAGACACTCAAGGTGTCAGAAATTTGCTTCCTTTTCTCCTGTGCTCAGCTCTTCTTCCTGCCCTACCTCTCTCTCTTCCTTTCCCCTCTTCTTTCCATCCCTCTATTCTCAACTGGCCAGTCTAGGAACTGAAGGCTATATTGCAATTAAAAGTTCTAGATTTTCAGTTGTTAAGAATCCAGGTGGATGAAGGCTTCCCTGTCCTTCCAAAGGCAAACAAGTTGCTTTTCACCATCCTGTTGTCCGAAACCTATGCCCTATCCCAGTTTGGGTAAAGTGCTCCAGCTTCTCTCTGCCCAAGGACATGAGGAAGACCTTCTCAACAGTGACACAGGCTCTGGGAGCCTGGGTGCTGAATGTGGCAGCCTGGCCCAACACCATGCCCTCAGCAGAGGCCCAAAGGAGGCCCCACTTAGTGGCCACCCCGACTCCCCACCCCACCCTTGTCTAAAGGCCTCTGGCGTGACCTTCCTTATAGCCTCTCAGCTCCCGCCCCTCCAGGCCTCTCTCAGAGGGCCGGGTCACAGGGATCCACGTCAAAGACACCTGCCTCCTGCCCAGACCCCACACGTGGAAGATAATGCTCCCCTCTCTACAACCTGCCAATGTGCAGTTAGGAAATGTGGGTTCAGCCAGCCAGGCAGGGGGCTCCAGCCAGGCTTCTGCCCATTAGGACAAACAGTGGCACAGTGGTGTCTGCAGCTGCTCACCTCAAGGACCGCAGAGGGCTGGGACCTTCCACCCACAGCAAGAGGAGGAAAAGGCCGAAATTTGTGAGAGTCCATCAGCCCCAAACACACCCCTTCTAACTCAAGCTGAAGAAATGTTCAAAACAATCTCCAGCTAAAAAAAAAAAACCATTTAGTTAAAAAAAGAGATGGGGTTAACTACGGATTAAGAGATGGATGGGTAGAGGAACAGACGTGATAAAGCTAGTAAAAGGTTAATGGTGGAATCCAGGTGGTGGGCACACAGGTCTTCACTGCAACATTCTTTGATATTTCCTGTATATTTGAACTTTTCATAATAAACTGTTGGGGGGTGAGGAGAGAAACCCAAACTAATACCCAAATGCAATGTGTCGCTTTATTTGGATCCTGATTCTAACAAACTCACTGTAGTTGTTAATTGTTAGATTCTTTAAAGGTGTAACAACAGTATGGTAGCTGTATTTTTCAAAAGAGTTCTTAATTAATAAATACATACTGAAATGTCGAAGTGTGGGGAGAAATGGGTTGGGGTAGAGCTCCCCCGTGACTGCTCATGAATGCATGATCACCGAAGCTGGTTGATTCATGGGATTCATTCTTCATATTTTTATGCTTTGGAAATTTTTTATAATAAAGTTTCCTTTCTTTCTCTTTTTTTAATCCCTTGGATGGGCTCTTTGTTTTACATGAACAAACCCCAGCACAGCCAGCCGTACTCTGGGGTTCCCCTGCTCCATCCTGACCAAATCTAAACCGGATATGAATTTGAAGAAAACATACAAACAGTATAACTACCTCCTCCCCCCGAGTGGGTGGTGAGGAGCAAACTCCTCAGACAGGAAAGGGTGTAGGGGCCTGTTCTGCTTCACATCTATTGATCTTTCATCCCACCCAGAACAGAAAGGGCCCCCACAGCTCTTTCTTCTCCTGCCCCCTCTGGAGCGGAATCTATGTTCTGGGAGCTACTT